GAATAACAGATATTTTGTTTTATTTCTTTAAATATTTAGAACAATTTGACACTAGTCCATGCTTACTATTCATTCTTTAAGAAATGAATGCTTCTAACATATTTTATTTGCTAATTCCTTCCTTCCTTCCTTTCTTCCTTCCTTCATTCCTTCATTCCTTCCTTCCTTCATTCATTCATTCATTCATTCATTCATTCATTCATTCATTCATTCATTCATTCATTCATTCATTCATTCATTCATTCATTCATATAGTTCAATCGTTTGATATCCCCATGTCCGTACTGACGTTTAGGATTTCAATGAACGTAATCTATGTATTACTGGTAAATATTAAGTCAAGAATTTCTTTACCACAAATGACATAAAATCTTTCATCATATATTTAGTAATAAATACAGTAGTTTTGAATATTTGATAAATAACCTGCTGTTTAATCCGTATCACTCAACTATGTTGAGCACCCTTTTTCACACCACTTTATTGCATGTCTACCCTTTTTCACATCCCTTTATCGCACCCCTACTCGGATTTCACGTTCGTATTCTATACGGAGTCTCTCGGACAGTTTCGGATCAGCAGACGACATTGACGGCCATCATGGCAAGGCCACGGAGCCCACACAGCATTCAAATGGGCGAAGAAGTGATGAATCGTTTAGCTCAGGATGTATTAGAGCCGGAAGATCGAATTGAGAAACGCGATTGTGCTGCTGAGCAGATGACAACAGATAAGTACATCGACCAAATGAAAAATAAGAACACAATGATATCCAGTGCCTTCAATACTGAATGGTGCTTCTGTGAAGGGGAATATCATAATTAATTATAGAAATCCGGTTGAGGAAAAAGAAAATAGTCAGCGACAAACCTTGAAAAAAACGGAAATGGGTCATTCATGACAGTAGTGATTCCGACTAAATTTACATGAAATCCGATGTTTGTTAAACTTTAAATTTTGATATTTTAAAAGTGCACAATTTACTCACCAGTCTCTAGGTAGTCTCTTGTTTATTACAGTATACTTGTTATTAAATTGTTGGTTTATTGTTACTATTTTTTTTTTATTAACAGGTTTTATTCAGAATGTCTTTTATATAATACAACATTACTAAAGGAGAATAAAAAAAACTCGATGAAATACCATACAAAACACACACAAACAACAAAAAAATACAATAAACAAAATAATTCTATGGACAACAGAACCTAAATTGTAAGGTAACCCAGGTGCTTCGGATGAATAAGCAGTTCCTATATATGATAAAGCTTATAAATCATGGCAAAAATAAATCTGAAGGTAACCCAGGTGCTTTGGATCAGTAAGCAGTTCCTATACTCTCCTATACTCTCCTGTTTAAAAAGATGATAAAGCGTATAAAACATGGCAAAATCCGTATCACATCCCGCATAACCCTCGACCAATATCATCCCTAGGGCCTGAAGGCCCTCGGGCTGATATTGGTATCTCGGGATGATACGGCATGTGATCCGGATTTTGCCATGTATTATTCTCTATTTACCAAATTCTATCGTATATACCACAATTTAGTTTAAAAGTTTGTCTGTACCAGTAGAAGACTTATTACAAACGGGAAAGGACATCCTAATGTTTACGGTGATGTTGTTTACCGAGCCCGTAAATTTAGATACCATCTGGAAAAACTTATCGATCCTTAAAATAAACTTATTCAAAAAGGTTACCAATTCAACAGTGTAATAAGATCTTAGATTATTGTTCTTATCGGTATACATATTTACTTTGTTATCAATAATTCGAATCCAACTAAATATTATTGTCAAACCAATATGTACATTCATATGTACATTTATGGTCCTGCAATCTGTAGAAACCTATGTTTTGGCATTGCACAAGGTCATGTTTTCCCTGTCTGTTAATGACTTCTTAACACTAAATCCATTGCAGTTGGATGCTTATTGATATTGTATTCTTGGATACATATTTTTTATTATTAGTTGTTATATTCGCTTTGAAATAGCTTTCAGTAACTGCGAGTACTCTCTTTGTGTCTTTTGTGTTTTAAGTTGTTTTTGTGCTTTGTGTCGATCTGATAAGTTAAGCCCTACTAAGCTTATTTTTATAGTTTGTTCTTATGCTGTGGCGACACTACTTTCCCAGGTTAGGGGAGGCTCGATAACATGTTCATCTCCGCCACATTCTGTATGTGCTTATCCCAAGTCAGGAGCCTGTAATCCAGGGGTTGCCGTTTGTTTTTGTATATCAAATTTGTTTTTGTTTATTATTTTGAACATAAATCAGGCCGTTAGTTTTCTCGTTTTAATTGTTTTACATTTGTCACTTCGGGGTCTTTTATAGCTTGCTATGCGGTATGGGTTTTAATCATTATTGAAAGCCGTGCGGTGACATATTGTTGCTAATCGTCTACGTCATTTGGTCTCTGTTAGATAACTAGTTCAAAATCCAATTTCAAATTGTAAGTAAACCATGCTATCCCAGACTTAAATATCAATTAATCCGACAGATTTTGTGAAAGACGTACAATAAACTAATCATAGATACCAAGATGAAAATTTTGTACACAGGTTTCGTCTACAAAAGAGTCATCAGTGAAACTCAAATCAAAAAGTTAAAAAGGCCAAAAAAAAGTACGAAGTTGAAAAGTATTTAACAAAAGCAGTATTATACAACACCACAACCTTGTGTATACAAGACCGCAAGTGTTAAATAAAATAACTGGCTAGCAGTAATATTTGTATTAAACTGTTTCAAATGAGGTCAATGTTACATGTAGTAGTGATCATGACAACATAAGTCAGATAATTAACATAAAATATTAGTTATAATAAAAAATGTTTTTGTAAATTATAAATATCTTTATGTTGTTTTAATAAGTCACGCACAGTCTTCTTAATTTCTTTTTCAAATAAACGTGTATATCCGAAAAAGTTCCTTTTACTTTAACTGGGTGACTTAATTTAAAAGGTATGGATTGGCTAATTTTGTTGGTATGCTTCCCCAACGCTTTCGTATTTAACCTTTGTTCATATTAAAGTTATTGATGTGTTATATATAAAGAAGACAAAATCTTTGTGGATGATATTTAAAGTTCCAAGTGGTGAAGTTGAAATCATCCCTCCGTAAGTTTTACGGGCGCCATCACGAGTTGGTTGTTTGAGATGATAGCGGATATGTTCCTAATGACGTCGTAACTACAATCCCGTCCCCTTTTCCCGAATAGACTTATTACCGGGTTTGTACTAACATAAGCAACACGACGGGTGATACATGTGGAGCAGGATCTCCTTACCCTTCTGGATCACCTGAGATCACCCCCCGTTTTTGGTAAGATTAGTGTTGCTCAGTCTTGAGTTTTTTGTGTTGTGTTTTGTGTATTATTGTTTGTCTGTTGGTCTTTTTCTTTTTTAGTCATGGCGTTGTCAGTTTGTTTTCGACTTGTGATTTTTAATGGCCCTCTGGTATCTTTCGCCACTCTTTATAAATCCATATGAAACTTCAATTTAAAAAGAAGTTAAATATGTTTTATATACTTGAATGGCTAAGTTTTACTATAAAACAAGTACTAGTGTACTAGAACTTTTTTGTAAAAGAAAATCCTTTATATCATCAAAATCTCAACACTGATTTAAAAAAAAAAACAAATAAAAAACATACAGATATAATTTAAATTCGAATTCTAATAAGCTTAAAACAAACAAGACTCTCGTGAAAACAAGCAAAATTTTGAAATTGAAGATTTCAACTTCGATAGAACATTATATTTCCCATTGGTATTTCTGTAACATGTCACCAGGTTAATTTGGACTTACATTTTTATTTTATCCTTTTATTGAGAAATTGAGTTTTTAGAAAATAAGGCCGTGCTTAAAAAAATTGACCTATAATTGTTTACTTTTACACATTGTGACTTGAATGGATAGTTGTCTCATTGGCACTCATACCACATCTTCTTATATTGTTTTTTTACAAATTTAAAAATTTACAAGTTAAGACAAGTTATGTATCATCTTAACAAGTGATATTTGATGTTAAGATATTTGTGACAGATTTTTTTATTTTGTGAAGTAACTGATATTGATATGAGAAACTTCAATCCTTTATTCATACTAAAGGTGTAAAAATAATGTTAAGGGGAAAAAATGTAATAATGAGATTATATGAGTAATAATTGTGAATATCTCTCATATTTTTTAATGTGAAAGCTGTCACATATGGCTAAAGGTTATGAGATGTCATTTTAATCAGAGTATTGCTACATTACAAACTTGTCATGTTAATTGAGCATTGTCTCTTTTCAATATTTAGTATAAATATTGTTTATGAAATATGTTGAAATTAGAACATCAAAATAGAACACACAGAGTAGGATAACAACATACGTAGTATTGTACTATTACAGTAGGAGTCATATTGTATCGACAATAACCATTGTATGAAAGTTCGGCTTGGAATTCAATGATAAAACTTGAATGTGTTGGATATTCGTGAACTGCACCTACTAATTTCTGTCAGTGGTACCTTAAAGACTGAAATGTTTTTCTGATAAATTTACAAATAAAAGCATAACCCCTTAATATCCAGGGAGCCAACCCAGTACCAGCAGCCTCCTTTGTTACAAATATATAGCAGATTGAACATTTTCAAACCGTCTCATAATATACCAAACTTTCTTGGAAGCGCTACCATATTTTATATGTATTTGCATATATTGTAATAAAGAAAAGCACTTCGTGTTGTATAATCAATTTACAATTTTTGAAACATCATATTATCAAAAAGTATTGATAATTGATATAAAATATTTATAAGCTATCAAAACTTTCAGAGAAACCACACTTTTACTATGCACACAGTAAGTGTAATGCTTTCAATATTAGTCATTTAAAACCTGTTATTAAAGAAAGAAGAATTTTATACTTTACCAGATCTGTCTATTGTGAAATAGCAAACACAACGGTTTCTCAATAAAATGATACGAGTAACTGATTAAACTTACTTACCACCATCACATACATAAACTCTCAGAATAATTAAAACGACAGCTAGCACAAATTGCTTCATAACGGAAACCACAACCAGGAAGTTAATATTTTAACACAACAATGTTCATAAAGAAATAACCGGTCCTTTGTTGGCAAATAGAGCGTGAAATAATATGAAGTGATACTTAAACATATTACATACACAACAAAACAAAACATTGTCTTTCATAGCTTTAAACTATACTTTGGGGGTTACTTAGAAACGATTCATTTCTTTAATTCTGAAAAAAAACTAAATTGAGGTTAATGACACTTTAAACTTTCCGACACATATAAAATAGATACAAATGTTTTATTAATAATTTAGAAGTGATAGTATGACACTATTCACGAAAATCTACATTACCTATCACTATTGACAAAAACCTTACTTTACAGCAACTAAAAAAACGAGGTTGCACTTTAAGGTTTACGATTCCATAATTGATCAAAACTACGTTTTTTCATCCCATTGATTTAAAGACAACTCTAAATGAAATTGCATTGGTTACTTCTAATAAAAACTTTTAAAAAAAAGTTTTAAAAAATCGTCATTTAAGGGCAATTACTCTTACCAGGAGTCATCCGACAACTAAAACCACTGCAGATTACGCGACGATAAATGCCTCGTTTTTTAAATATGAAACTGGTGATTTAATGTTGTAAGCTGCATTTTTGTGTAGCAGAGAAAACCTCAAATTTGCAGACAACTATTTCCGGAGATGAAATAACAAGAAACTTTTCTTTTCCCTGAAACACATGTTTGTATCTAATGAAAATCTACGTGTATGAAAATGAGTTTTTTAAAAATGTAAACCATGTTCTAAGGTGTACATGTATGGTTACGTCAGTTAATAGCAAAGCATTGAAGCATCTTTATACATGTAAATGTATCTACAGAGCATGTCAATGGGACTTTTTAAATGACTGCATGCCTCATGTTCTTGTGACGTTTTGATCCTTGGTAATCTCGTGGATTGACGACTGGAAATAATAAAATATGTCACATGCAATGCAGGAATTTACAGAAGCGTATTAGGGACATAACTAAAATTTATTTGTTTTGCGTGTTTTATTTTGACATTTAAAATGTTGAAATTTCGACTTTAACTCAAAATTTTAACTTTTTAAATGTCGAAATTTTGACTTTAATTCAAAACTTTGACTTTTTTAAATCAAGTAATTTTAACTATTAATAACCTCAAAATTTCGGGTTTATTTAGAATCAAAATTTCGACTTTTAAATCTTGAAAGTTCGTCTTTTCAGTAACTACAAATTTCGACTTTTAAAATCTCGAAATTTCGAGTTTAGTTAAAGTCGGAATTTCAACTTTATAAAAACTCGAAATTTCGACTTTTATAAAACTCGAAATTTCGAGTTCAGTAAAAGACGAAATTTTACATTTGGAATGATTTGAAATTTCGATTTTAGAGTAACTTAGACTTTTTACTTTTAAAATCTCGAAATTTCAAGTTTAGTTAAAGTCGAAATTTCTACTTTATAAAAACTCTAAATTGCGACTTTTAGAAAACTCGAAATTTCGAGTTCAGTAAAAGACGAAATTTTAACTTTGGAATAATTTGAAATTTCGACTTTAGAGTAACTCAAACTTTTGATTTTTAAAATCTCGAAATTTCGACTTTAGTTAAAGTCGAAATTTCAACTTTATAAAATCTCGAAATTTCGATTTTTAGAAAACTGGAAATTTTGAGTTCAGAAAAAGACGAAATTTTAACTTATAAATGATTTGATATTTCGATTTTAGAGTAACTCAGACTTTTTACTTTTAAAATCTCGATATTTCAAGTTTAGTTAAAGTCGAAATTTCTACTTTATAAAAACTCGAAATTGCGACTTTTAGAAAACTCGAAATTTCGAGTTCAGTAAAAGAAGAAATTCTAACTTTGGAAAAACTTGAAATTTCGACTTTAGAGTAACTCAAAATTTCGACTTTTAAAATCTCGAAATTTCGAGTTTAGTTAAAGTCGAAATTTCAATTTTATAAAAACTCGAAATTCCGACTTTTAGAAAACTCGAAAATTTCGAGTTCAGTAAAAAATGAAATTTTAACTTTGGAAAAACTTGAAATTTCTACTTCAGAGTACATTGTAACTACTACTTTTAAAATCTCGAAATTTCGAGTTTAGTTAAAGTCGAAATTTCGAGTTTATAAAATCTCGAAATTTCGATCCTTGGTAATCTCGTGGATTGACGACTGGAAATAATAAAATATGTCACATGCAATGCAGGAATTTACAGAAGCGTATTAGGGACATAACTAAAATATATTTGTTTTGCGTGTTTTATTTTGACATTTAAAATGTTGAAATTTCGACTTTAACTCAAAATTTTAACTTTTTAAATGTCGAAATTTTGACTTTAATGCAAAATTTTGACTTTTTTAAATCAAGTAATTTTAACTATTAATAACCTCAAAATTTCGGGTTTATTTAGAGTCAAAATTTCGACTTTTAAATCTTGAAAGTTCGTCTTTTCAGTAACTAAAAATTTCGACTTTTAAAATCTCGAAACTTCGAGTTTAGTTAAAGTCGGAATTTCAACTTTATAAAAACTCGAAATTTCGACTTTTATAAAACTCGAAATTTCGAGTTCAGTAAAAGACGAAATTTTACATTTGGAATTATTTGAAATTTCGATTTTAGAGTAACTTAGACTTTTTACTTTTAAAATCTCGAAATTTCAAGTTTAGTTAAAGTCGAAATTTCTACTTTATAAAAACTCTAAATTGCGACTTTTAGAAAACTCGAAATTTCGAGTTCAGTAAAAGACGAAATTTTAACTTTGGAATAATTTGAAATTTCGACTTTAGAGTAACTCAAACTTTTGATTTTTAAAATCTCGAAATTTCGAGTTTAGTTAAAGTCGAAATTTCAACATAATAAAATCTCGAAATTTCGATTTTTAGAAAACTCGAAATTTTGAGTTCAGAAAAAGACGACATTTTAACTTATAAATGATTTGAAATATTGATTTTAGAGTAACTCAGACTTTTTACTTTTAAAATCTCGATATTTCAAGTTTAGTTAAAGTCGAAATTTAAACTTTATAAAAACTCGAAATTGCGACTTTTAGAAAACTCGAAATTGCGACTTTTAGAAAACTCGAAATTTCGAGTTCAGTAAAAGAAGAAATTCTAACTTTGGAAAAACTTGAAATTTCGACTTTAGAGTAACTCAAAATTTCAACTTTTAAAATCTCGAAGTTTCGATTTTAGTTAAAATCGAAATTTCAATTTTATAAAAACTCGGAATTTCGACTTTTAGAAAACTCGAAATTTCGAGTTCAGTAAAAAACGAAATTTTAACTTTGGAAAAACTTGAAATTTCGACTTCAGAGTAACTACTACTTTTAAAATCTCGAAATTTCGAGTTTAGTTAAAGTCGAAATTTCGAGTTTATTTTAAGTCGAAATTTCAACTTGATAAAAACTCGAAATTTCGAGATTTTAAAAGTAGTAGTTTAGAGATTATATTTAGGCATATAAAAAAACTGAGGTCATTTCAATGACATCATTTGATGCTGCACGAGCGTTTTTAAACGCGGGAAACCGTAACAGAAATGGGGGATTTTTTAGGGAAGACGCGTTTCACAAAAGATTATTGAACAAATGAGGAATGATAAGGTAAGATCATCCAAAAAACGAATTCACTTCGAAATTGTCCCCTTTTTTACAATTTTTACACGATTCTAATATGAAAATAAGATTCGACGATCGCCCATTACCTGCACCAGAGTTATTGATAGACACGCGTTGATAGGCAGCGGCTGTGCGTTTATCTGGTTTTTTTTTAAGTGGGACGGAAGGACATTTTTCGGGACGTCGCTTTTGGGCCTTTATTTTTACGGGAATTCGCGATTTACCCTTATCGGGAGTCGGGAATGGATGATGTAATTTTCGGGAATTCAGGCCCCAGATTAGTTGTTTATTTATTTTTGTGGGAATTCCGGATTCAATGTTTTTTTGCGGCAAATCGGGATTACATCCCCTTCCTTCCGCCTCTCTTTTAACACTATAGATTATTTACTAGTTCAATACCGCCAAAATTTATTGCGTCTTTGCTCTTGATAGTAAATAGCAAATATACAAGTTATTTGTAGAATATATATGTTCATATAAAACAGAAAAACGCGAAAATAATTGAAATTAATAGGAAAAAAAAAAAAAACGATTTTGGAAAAAAGGGGAAGGGCTAAAAAAAATTGTCCTGTCCCCAAGTATCAAAGGTCTTTTTAAAGAAATTTAACACTATTGATAATTTGCTCTTTAGTATAAGGGAGAGGGTTGTGTACCAATTAAACTGTTACTAGTTCATACCCGCAAACATATATTGCGCCTATCCAAAGCCAAACCCTTTTTTTTTTGTATCATTTCGTCAATAACGACATATGTGTGCTCATTTTATGCCAAATTTCAACGCCCTATAGTAGATACACATGATGTACAAATAAAGAGGAATCGTGTAGACCGCCAATGGGATCCTATAGATTGCACTTTAGTAGATGCAAGATGTGCAGATTAAAGGGGGACCCTGTAGACCTCCAATGGGATTGTGATAGATCATAGAACGCCCTATAGTAGAAACATAATGTACAGCTTAAGAAAGATCCTTTAGACCGCCAATGGGATCCTATAGATAATAGAACACCCTATAGTATATACATAATGTACAGTTAAAGGGGGGTCCTGAAGACCGTCCTTGGGATATCCTATAAGACGCCTATAACTTAGAGATTAAGAGTACATATAGGAGGGGATGCTATAGGCAGTCCATTATATCATATAGAGAGTCGTGTGTATACACAGCATAATATACAAACAATAGTTTACCACCATAGTTGATGCATGCAGTGAACCAAATTAGTATGTACACGTGTAAAATTGAGAATGGAAATGGGGAATGTGTCAAAGAGACAACAACCCGACCATAGAGCAGACAACAGCCGAAGGCCACCAATGGGTCTTCAATGCAGCGAGAAACTCCCGCACCCGGAGGCGTCCTTCAGCTGGCCCCTAAACAAATA